AAATAGTGTGGGGGAATAAGGTATGTTATTGTTCTTTGTGATATAGGCAAAATAGTATTTCGTATTTCATAACAATACACATAGCATTTAAATTTTCTATGTCATCTCATTTATTTTTGACGAATGAATTGAGTAATAGCCCCATTTTATAAGAGAGAAAACTGATGCACAGAAAAAAAAAACGACAACTAATAAAGTTTAAGGACATCATGCTAAGCAAGTCACATACACAGTTATTTAATTCTTAAAATTACTCTGTAAAATTAGTACTGGTATTATTTATGTGTTATTGATTAATAAATTAAGACTCAAAAAATTAGTTTGCTCAAGGTCACACAGCTAACAAATTGCTGAATCAAGGCTTAAATTCATATCACCTCCACCTCAAAGCCTATACTTCTAGCCACTTGCTATTCTGGGGGAGGCAGAACTAGAATTCTGATTTTGTGATTACCTGTAAAATAACCTTTTCATCTGTTTTTACCTGCAAGGGAGCTTTTCTTTGCATGTGAGGTAGATACTCTCTCAAATAACTTCTTTTGCATGTGAGCTTTTCATTAATATGTATCAAAAGGAAGCTTATGATTTTCATATGGATTCATTTTTCATTTCCACTGCTTTCATTAATTTGAATATCAAAGCATTTGCTTGTTTATACACACTGAAGAATGAGCACTCTAAAAGGAGACAAAAGCAACTCTCTGAAAAGGTTTTGGCATGTTTTTATGAGTAAAAAATAGTTTGTGTGACTCATTCAGGGTTTGGGTGCAGTACACACAATAAACCAAATGTGTGTAACAAGTTAAATTTATGAATTAAAGATCTGGTAATTCATTAGCCACCTGTCTGTAAAGACTCTTGAATTCAGTGTATATAAAATGCTTCCTATAATGACATGGAGGGAATAGGCATTATGGCTATAAGGTAATGACATTTAAAATATACAAGAATTTAAATATTTGCAAGTCATACATCTGATAAGGTGTTAACATCCAAAAATATAAAAGGAACTCAAGCAACTCAATGGCAACACAACAAATAACCTGATTAAAAAATGGGCAAAGAATCTGAAAACATTTCTCAAAAGAAGACTTACAAATGGCCAACAGGTATATGAAAAATACTCAATATCATCAGAGGAATGCAAATTAAAACCACAATAAGATACCACCTCATGCCCATTGGGATGACTGTTATCAAAAAGGTAAGATAACAAGTGCTGGTAAGGATACTGAGAAAATGGAACCCTTGCACACTATTGGTGGAAATGTAAATTAGTACAGCCATTATGGAAACAGAATGGAGGTTCCTTTAAAAATTAATTAAAAATAGAACTACAGTATGATACAGCAACCCCACTACTGGGTATATATCTAAAGGAAATGAAATCCACATGTTGAAGAGATAGCTATACTTTCATGTCCATTGCAGCATTATTCACAATAGTCAAGATGGAATCAGCCTAAATGATCATCAGCGGATGAATAGATAAAGAAAAGTGGTACATATACCTTAAAAATAGAAGGAAATCCTATCATTTGCAACAAGATGGATGAACCTTGAGGACATTTTTAAAGTGAAATAAGACAGAAACAGGAAAGACAAATGCCACATGATCTCACTTATATGTAAAGTGTCAAATAGTTGAATACATCAAAACAGAGAGTAAAATGGTGTTTATCAGAGTGGGAAAATTGGGGAGATGTTGGTCAAAGGAGATAAAATTTCAGTTAGGAGGAATAAGTTCAAGAGTTCTGTTGTGCATCATACTGTCTATAGTTAATATAGCATATATTTGAATATTCTTAAGAGAGTAGATTTTGAGTATTCTCAACACAAAAAAGTATGTCAAGTAATGTGTATGTTAATTATCTTAATTTAGCCACTTCACAATATATAGATATATCAAAATGTAATATACTTTTATAAATATATGCAATTTTTACTTGTCAATTAAAATAAACACCAGGTATTTAAAATATACAGCAATTTAGATAATCCTTATAACATTATTTTCTTTTAATGCTAAAAATAATATATTGAGTGTAAGTTTTCCATTCTATACCAAGCTGGAGAGATTTTACACATCCTAACGAATGTTTTGTTTCTAAAGTGATCACTTTAGAATCTGTATATCTTTATTCAAGTATACTGCCATTTCTTTTTTTTTCTTTTTTATTCTTTATCTATCTATTAGGATAAATATAGTTAGGTGGTACATATATTGTTTCTTGCCACCACTCCTGCCACCCGCCTGCCGAGTCAGAACTTCAAGTGTGTCCATCCTCCAGGTGGTGGGCATCCCACTCATTATGTAAGTATACCCCCATCTTCTCCTCCTCTCCACCTGCCCGCACACCGATGAAGTTTTTTTTTTTTTTTGACATTTTGGTTACATGTTGATATCTTTGCCTCTCCCTAAGGAAGGGTTAGAGTATGCCTTCCCCTCCACAATGCTCACCCATCTCTATGATGTGGGTCTACCCCAATCCCTGGTGAACACTACCACCATTTGAGCACCATAGTTTTAATCACTCAGTACCAATTTGGTGGTGAGTACATGTGGTGCCCATTTTCCTGAACTTGTGTCAGCCTCACTTTGGATAATGAGCTTAAGCTTAATCCAGGTTAGTATAAGTGGTGCTAGCTCGCTGTCATTTCTTAGAATTGAGTAATATTCCATTGTGAACATATACCAAATTTTGATTATCCACTCATGAATTGACGGGCACTTGGGTTGTTTCCATGTCCTTGCAATAGTGAATTGTGCTGCCATAAACATTCGGTGCAGATGTCTTTATCATAGAATGTCTTATGCTCTTTCGGGTAGAAACCTAACAATACTATTGTTGGGTCAAATGGTATTTCTATTTCTAGCTGTTTGAAGTATCTCCAAATTCTTTTCCACAAAGGTTGCACTAATTTGCAGTCCCACCAGCAGTGTAAGAGTGTTCCTATCTATCCACATCCTCACCAGCATTTGTTGTTTTGTGATTTCATAATACAGGCCATTCTCATTGGGGTTAGGTGGTATCTCATTGTGGTTTTGATTTGTATTTCTCTAATGATTAGAGATGTTGAGCATTTTTTATATGTTTGCAGGCCATTTTCTGTTTCTTTGGAGAAGTTCTGTTCATTTCCGTTGGCCCATTTCTTGATGGGGGTTGTTTGATTTTTTCTTGTTAAGTCTTTGAGTTCTAGATAGATTCTTGTTATTAGACCTTAACAGAAGTGTAGAGAGCAAATATTTTCTCCCATTCTGATGGTTGCGTTATTTGCCTAATAATAGTTTCTTGGCTGTGCAGAAACTTTTAATTTGATAAGTCCCATTTGTTGTATTTTGATGGTGTGGTGATGTCTTAGGTCTTCCTCAAAAATTCTTTGCCTAGGCCAATGTCTGATAAGGTTTTCCCAATATCTTCCTCAAGAATTCTTAAGGTTTCATGCCTTAGGTTTAAATCTGTTATCCATCTTGAGTGAATTTTTGTGAGAGGTGAGAGGTAGGGATCCTGATTCAATCTTCTGAATAGCCATGTAGCTATTCAGTTTCCCCAGCACCATTTATTGAAGAGAGATTCTTTTCCCCATTGTATATTTTTGACTGCTTTATCAAAGATTATGTTACCATATGAAGATGGTTTCATCTCTGGAATCTCAGTTCTATTCCAAATATCGATGCTTCGTTCTTGTCCAATCCCAGCTGATTTAACTATTATTGCTTTTAGTACAGTTTGAAGTCAGGAAGAACTGATGCCTCCCAGTTTGGTTATTTTTTAAGATTACTTTGGCTATATAGGGTTTTTTCTGGTTCCATACAAAGGTGCAGAATTATTTTTTCTAGATCTGTAAAGAATGATGTGGTAGTACTTGATGAGGATTGCATTAATTCTGTACATCACTTATTAGGATAATTGACATTTTACAATATTGATTCTACCAAATCCATGAACAAGGTAGATTTTTCCATCCATTACTCTTCTACATTTCTTTTTTTAGTGTTCATAGTTCTCCTTGTATAAATCTTTCGTATCTTTCATTAAATATACTCCTAGATTTAATTTTCTTTGGGGCTATAGTAAAAGGTATTGGGAGTTTTTGATTTGTGTTTCTGCTTGATGGTTCTTGGCTAAATTCCTGGTTCCTACAACCTCCCTAAAGTCCCCAGGACGGTAAAGAATTCCTGAATAGACCAATCTCAAGGCCAGAATTTTGGGGCAGCAATTTAAAACCTCCCCAAACAGAAAGTCCCAGACCAATGGTACACGTTCAGAGTTCTAACAAACATACAAGATGAACTCAATCCTATACTACAGGAAACGTTCCGCACCTTGAGAAGAATGGTATTCTTCCTAACTCATTCTACGAAGCCAATATCACCATTGATACCAAAGCTAGGAAATGATGCAACAAAAAAGAAATTACAGACCAATTATCCTCATGAATATAGATGCAAAATCTAACAAATTTTAGTAAATAGAATTCAGAACACATCAAAAAAAATAAATTCACCATGACCAGGTGGGTTTTATTCCAGGGATGCAAGGCTGGTTCAACATACGCAAGTCTATAAATGCAATTCATCTCATAAATAAAAATAAGAACAAAGACCATGTGATTCTGTCAATAGATGCAGAAAAAGCATTTGGACAAAGTCCAACACACCTTTATGATAAAAACTCTTAACAAAATAGCATAGACCGGCTATACCTTAAATTTATCAAACTCATTTATGACAAAACCACTGCTAATATCATTCTGAATGGGGAAAAATTGAAACCATTCCCTCTTTGAACCAGAACTAGACAAGGCTGCCCACTATCTCCTCTTCTATTCAACAAAGTACTCGAAGTCCTAGCTATAGCAATCAGGCAAGAGAGTGGTATTAGGGGCATCCAAGTTGGGGATGAGATCAACTCGCCTCTTTGCGATGATATGATATTGATACCTAGAACACCCCATGGATTCATCCAAGGATTCCTAAGATGTTTGATGAAATGAATTTGGTAAAGTTTCAGGTTACAAAATCAATATACACAAATCAGAAGCCTTTAAATACTGCCATTTCTTAAAACACTTTCAAAATTTCACTTTGTGAATTTTCTTCAGAGCCAGTTTATAAGGTACAGGAAAGTCAGTTTCATCAATTTGTAATCACGCCTCATTTTTTTAAAATCAAAAGATGGTGATTCTTCATCCTATAATCCATCTTATTCACCAAACCAAACTCTGAACTGCTTTTGACTGTTTCCCAAAACTGCTTAGTGTCTCATTGTGAAGATTTGTCACCATTAAAGAGATCCACAGGACTGTGCAGGAAGTCTCAAAATGTTTCAAATAATTAACTGTCCAATGTGGATAATACCCTGATTGTGTCTCCATGCCTTTGAATTGATAGATTCTAGTCTGTTTTTAATAAAAAGCAGCATTACTCTATAGTCTTACATATGTAGATCCAAGATCTCATTTTGCCCTTCTGGTATCCTGACTCTTCCATGAAACCAAAAGCAAGTTTCTAGCCAATGTGAGGTGTTCTTTTAAGCTTTTCATCCTTTTAACTTTCACTTATGACATCTTTTCTAAAGTAATACGTTAATTAGGATATAACTTGCATCAAGCTTTACAATTTTTTAGAGAGGTTTTCAGCAGTTGAAGATTTTGGCTGCAGGATACAGTTCTGACACCTGAATGAAAAACAGCTCAGACATCTTGATTGTGGAGTGTAAGTCATATTTTAAACAGTTGAAGCTTATTAATTTGGGTTTCAATTCCCCAGACTGGTATGAAGTTTCCCTTTACACTCTCTGAAAAGTTTACTTAAAAAAAAAAAAAGGAAAAAGAGCATATATGTGTTTGTGTATATGTGTGTGTGTGTGTGTGTGTGTGTGTGTGTGTGCATAATTGTAGGAGATATAGCTTATGTAAAAGAGCAGTTTGTTTTATGGGTTTTGGAAGGAGGCATTATCCTAAATAAAAATAATAAAGTAGGTGAATTTTATCTTTGATGTCCTCCTCCTCTTTAAACTGTAAGAGCCCCTGTAACCTACTGGAGCCTCAAGATTCCTTGTGTCTACTTCCTACAGTAAATTGTTATCATCCAATCTTCACTACAACATTAAAGGTCATTGTTACAGAAGCATTTGTTAACAGCTTCAGATAGTTTCAAAGCAACAGACTTGCACTGGTGGTAACTTAGGCACTGGTTAAGATGTAGTAACTGGGGACAGAATGGCTTCCTGGGAAACCACAAATCAAAACACATTGATGACTATAAATCCTGGGCACTGGCTAGAAAATGGAAGCTAAATTTACACAAAACATTGAACCATTAAAAGTGGGACCTTAACTTGGAAATGAGAACTCCCCTCCCCCCCCCAACGTCGTTTTTTACCTCATTCCCCTGAATTCTATGGAACCTTATTTTGGTTACTAAGAACTATTTCTTTTCTAGATTTTTCCAAAAATATTTCTACCTCCTTGCCTGAGAAATCTTGACACATTTACCCTCAGTCACTGCATTCAAATTGTAACCCTGGGCACTCTCAGTTGGAGACTTCCAGGCCCTCTTATTTCTTGTACTCTGGATTCCTCCAGGTTCCCACCAGTTCAGACCTTTGTTCAATCATCTTTCATCAACTCGTCTTTGTTTGAAATCCACTGTCTCTTCTTGATCCCATCTCTTTAATAGCTATCCTATGGTAATACCCTATGCCTGGATGCGTAGCTTCCTCTTCATTCTCAGGTTATTTGAACTTTCTGCATTGTGAAGCATTGTTAGTCTCTCCTTCTTGAAATTCTCTCTTTTCCAAATTCTCTTACCTCCTGCCCTGTCTTTCTCAGTCTTCTCAATGCTTCTCTCTCCAGTCCTTAACAACTGTTGTTAACCCATGCTTTATCCTTCTTTCCTCTAAACTGTTTCCAGGAATGATATAATCAATACTTAATTCCCAAACTCTCTTGCATATGACTCTACTTCCACTGCCATCACCTAACTCTGGTACCTGCCCAAACAGAATAAGCTCCTAAAAACATATCTCCTTATCTTAGTATCTCTCTAATTCCTACTCAGCTTCCACTGTGTCTCCAGAGTCATCTTTCTGAAACACTGACCCAATCTAAGCATTATATTCTTCAGAAATCTTATCTCCAAAAACAAGTACAAGCTGTTACAGGCTTGTGAGGGAAGCAGGGGTCGGGCAGGAAAGGAAAAGGAACAACATGAGATGATGTGTTACACTCTGGCCACTGATTCACAAAAAGCCCAGAGGAGATAGTTGAATAGTATGTCTGTCCACTTGGATGGGTGGTACATCTTTGGAACAGCTTGTTCATAGATATCATGCCTTGGAGGAGGCTGTGGAAGGGAGGGAGGGGAAGTTTATCTTCCTGGATCTCTATAATCTCCTGGTTTTCCACTGTTCAGAATTAGTCTGATGGAGCTTAATTTCCCTGTGCTGTGACATTGAACTCTTCTGACAGTCACCCAGAAGTAGAATCTGTGCCTGTGATGTGGTATCTCACCTCCCTGGAAGTGGCAGGAGAGGTCAGAAAGCTGGTTGGCCTAAGTACACGTTGACAGCCAAGGTGGAAATCCTGCATTCCCAAGCACGCAACTGCTTGGCTCTGGGCAGTAGAACTGCAGGTGCATGTGAGGTCTCTTGGTTGCTGCCCCAGCAAAAGCAAAGCAAATGGCTGAGAGCCTGGGAGGTAAGTGAGGCTAAGAGATATAAGGAGGCACATAGGATATATCCATTGCAATGCTCAACCCTACTCTTCATTAGGGATAAATAACAAGATTCCATTTTTTACCCTATCAGTTGGGTAGGAGGCAAATTGACAATATCAGGGGTTGGCAAGGTTGTGGGAAAGCTGACCCTGTCACAGAGAGCAGCTTGACACACACTTTGGAGAGTAAGAAGTGTACTCATGCAGCAGAGTGCAGTGAGCAATAAAGGGCATGGCCTAGTCTTCATAAGTCAATGTAGAATATGGAAGTACTAGTCATGGAGAAAATCAAGCTGCAGAAGGAAGGATACATCAATACAATATCATTTGGATGCACATAAAACATAAGTAAATGGATCAGATAGGCAGCTGGTTCCAGTTCTGTTCCCCATCACTCCATATGAGCCCCATGGAGAAAGAGATTATGGACAGATGCTTAAAGCTGCTTAGATGACTGGAAAACAAAGTATGGCATTGAATAAGAAAGAGGAACCATCTCCACTCTACATCATACCAATAGTGAAGCACCTTTGCCTGTTAAGGGCAGTGCATGAAGGAGATTGTGATGCCCAGTGGACAGAGAGAGGCCTGAGAATGACAAGATTACTTGTAATGTCCCCTGAAGACTCCTTCCAATATTTGAGGGAAGGTGTTTCTCAAACCTGAGGTCTTGAATGGAATATATCGAACTAGCAAAATGTGTGAATTCATGTTAAGATGCACTCATTAGACTGCTGAGGCCACAGGCTTGTTCAGACAGAGTTAATTGTCCTTTGCCTGTGCTTCCAAAGCATGTATTGTGCTATGTAATAGAGTGCTCACTTCCTGAGATTAGGGATGGTGTTGTATTCATGCAGGGTCCTGAAAACCTAAGTACCATAACTGACCCATAGTGAACCCAGGTTAATGTTTATGGCATGAATGAACAAATAATTGGTCATGGTCTCTGGAAATCAGTTTTATAAATCATCTGCTTTAGGATGATAACTGTCTATAGTTTTTGTACAATCTGAACAAAATCTTCAGGGGAGAACATCAAGAAATAACTATATGGCTGGCTTGAGTCTAGAATCTTCAGGAGAGACAAAAACTTTCATGCTATTGGGAATTGCTGTGGATGGATATCTGTGAACAGCTGCATTTTTGCCCCATCAGGTTATATAATTGCATAAATAAAAGCTAAAGTGGGCAAAATCTAAAAATGGTTAATGTAAGCAGTTTCTAGCTGTCAATCAAATTCTGCCTTTTGCAAGTATTTCTGGGGCATTCACAGTTATGACAAAGTTTTGGGTGTTATGTGTGTGTGTGAGAGAGAGATGTGTGTTTTCCTTTATAAACAAACCTGAGGATTTCATGCAGATGTCAAGGACCACATTAACCACTATTTGCAACAATAAAAATCCCTTCAAATTGACAGATGTTCTCTGAAAGAAGATAATTTTAAAAATATATATTTTCTTTTCAGAAAATAAATGTGCAAATAGTGCTCACTGATTGCTTGGATTTATTTCAGTTTAGAACTCATAAGGCCACATACAGGCTTATTCTGAGTTTTTCAGAATAAGCAAGCATTTTGATAGACTTTAAACTTAAACATAGCAAAAAACGTTCTTGTAATGCTAGATTATAGGCATAATCCTCGCATAGTTTAGAGTGTATTGTTTCATACTATGATAACCTGCTACATTTAGGGAACGTGTTTGGAATGTCTTATGACAAATTGTAACAGTGCATTGAGAGTACTAGCTCATGAAATATCTTGTAAAGAGTAAAGATAACTAAAATAACTAGAATTTTGTTTTTTGTTTAAAGATTCTTTCTTGGAAAAGATTCTCAGATGAAAGTTGGATCCAGTAGATAGCAATTATAAGATAAAGCAAGGAAATAATAGACCCTATATTAATACAATGTAAGTGCTTCTTTGCCTGGATAAATTTGTATTCAAACTACCCCCTCTGACTCCCCTCCCATCCTCATTTCACACCCTCCGGGCCAACTAAGGTTGTCTGTCTCCTGTGTTTCCACTGCACTTGTGTTTGGAAGCATGGTTTACTTTGGATCATTCATTCATCATGTGTCCACCAGACTTTTTCAATCCTCATACAGATGATATCTTAATTTGCCAAAGAGTCTTAGGTTATGCTCAGAGTTTGGTTTTTGGAGCAGCAGGAGCGGGCTTGGCTTGATAGAAAAATCTCACTGTCTTTGTGTGTCTCAGTCAACTGATTTTCACATATCCCAAATCATGAGAAGTCCAACATAAATTTTCTTTAACATAGCCAGGGTGAGATGATATTTGAGGAGGTTATGTTTTCTAAAACTTGTAAAGCGTTAAGAGTATTAAGAGTATTGTAAAGTATTAAGAGTTCTAGAAAGTGTAAAATCTGCTAGGTAATATGTAAATCACTTCCTTTACCCATATGATTATTATTATTTTTTCATTTAAAAGAAAATTCTAATTTTGTGAACCTTGCTCTTCTGGACAAAGTTGAGAGTGGGAGAAAGGGTGGGCCTCTGCTCCACGTGGTCATTCGGAAGCTCAGGTTGATGGTGATTGGCATCCTCACGTGTGGTTTTCAAAGACCCTCTAGGTGTCAGTGTCCAGTGTCCAGCTAGCACTTCAGCAAAAAGGGTTGAGAGGCTGGTTGTAAGGTCAGCTCTAGTGGTGGCATTTCTGCCACTTTCTGTTGGCCAGGATTCAGTCACATGGCCATGCTTACATACGTAGGGGTGGGGTTGAGAAATAAAATCGCTCACTGGAAAGCCACTTCCCCAGATCAACTCCACAACACAGAATAAATATTCTTTGGTGGAACACTGGCTGCCTCTTCCATGCTCCCTCATATACATTAAGCTCCATCCACGCTGACTTTTACTCTGATCCTGGCATATGTCCAGCTCAGGACCTTTGCCCATGTTGTTCCTCTTCTAGAAAAGTTTCTCCTGCTATTAACATGATGGGTCATTTCTTTACCTTCAGTTTTTTCTTAAACATCATCTCCTCAACGAGAAACTTTTTAACCACCTTTCAAATGTAGGATTTTCCCAAGCACCTTGTTAGTTTCCTGTATAGCACTTACCATATTGGTAATTATTTGATTTGTTTATTTACTTCTTTTTGTTTGTTTCTTCCACTAGAGTGTAAGCTCATGAAATTAGGTATGCAAATTTCTCTTATATCATTGAATTCCTAGTGCCTGGCATAGTGCCTGGCATATAGTAGATGCTTAACAAATATTTTCTCAGTTAAGGCAGAGGCTCTGAGTAATTAGTAAATAATTACAGTATTAAACTAAAATTCCATTACTTACCATTAATATAAATGTATATATGTATGATTCTATGGCCAGGTTTGATACAACAGTCAATGAATCATCATTATCTGGTACTGATACTTTATATTAACCCTTTCTTGAACTATCATAAACTGACTAATTCCAGTTAGTTACTGCTGTATAATAAATACATTACCTGAAAACTTAGTGGCTTAAACCAACAATAACAGTTTTATTATCTCTCACAGATTCTGTGTGCCAATAATTCAGGAAGTATTCAGTTTTGTTATCCTGGCTCAGAGTTTTTCATGTGGTTATGGCCAAACAGCTGCCAGGGCTAGATCAACAATAGGGAAGAGCAGTCATAGAGCCTGAAGGTTTTAAGAAAACAAGTATTCCTATGAGTAAGAGAGTACACATTGACATTCATGACTTAATCTTGGATGCATTGCATCACTTCTGCTGTATATTATTCATGGAAACAATCACACAACCCCTCCTGGTTCAAGCATGGGGGATATAGACCCCAAATCTGATAGGAGGACTGTCTCAGTCCATTTTGTGTTGCTATCACTGAATACCTAAAATTGGATAATTTATAAAGAAAATTTTATTTTTTACAGTTCTGGAGGCTGGGAAGTCCAAGTTTCAGGGACTGCATTTTATGACAGCCTTCTTGCTGATGGGGACTCTCTTCGGAGTCCTGAGGTGGCACAGGGCATCACATGGGGGGAGGGTTCTCTAGAGATGGCCAAACTGGCATTTATCACAGATCCACACTCGTGATAACCAACCCACACCCTTGATAATTGGTTAATCTATTAATCCATGAGGTCTCTGTCCTCATGGGCTGATCACCTCCCGAAAGTTCCCACCTTTCAACACTGCTACATTGGGGACCACATTTCTAGGATATAAACTTTTGGGGGACATAGTCAAACCATAACAATGAGTGTCAAAGGATTTGTGGACATGTTTTTTAACTGTCATATTAACAATGAGGGAATGAATCCCAGCACTTTGCAGAGCATTTTAATAAATTGTTATTATCAGGATGTTTCTCCCACCCTACTTTTTTTTACACAGGCCAGTAGGGAATTCCACAGAACTTAATCTCCTCCCTGCAAAGACTGCTTTAAGTAGCTGAGATATATATGTATTCAGAACTTCTTATTTGAAAAGTCCTTCCTCTGCAGGGTATTGTAGATATCTTGTTACGAGAACTTGGACATAGAATTGAGTACCCACTTCTTTTCATACCTTTGGAATCAGGCTATATTGATTCATAACATTGCTTTGGCACATTTGTGGAAAAGAGTTTTTTTTGTTGTTGTTGTTGTTTTTTCAGAATAATAGTCTTGGTTTTCTAGCCTTAATATTTTACATAACAAATTCTCCACTTTCATTAAAACATTTTTCTTTTTTTAAACAATGCATCAAATATTCTTTATCCTGGTCAGAATTCTGGAGACAAGAATTACCATGAATTCTAAGATGCTGCTTTACAACTATCTCACTAAACTTTTCTAATGAGATGTTTTAGAAGGTAGGTAATTTGGATTAGAAAAATTGCAAACTGTTATATTGCTCCAAGCTCCAAAATGCTCAGGGGATCCTTAATCAAATGTGTAACATAATCCTCCCTTTTATTTTTAAAATGAGACTTTATTTATAGTTAGAAATATTATCGTTTCCAAGTATGACCTTGAGCAAGAATTCATTGACTTCAAAAGAAAACCTTTTTATTTAAGAGAGTTTTATATTTACAGAAAAGTTGCAAGAATACTACAGAGAGCTGTGGTATAACTCTTGCCTAATTTTTTTATTATTAACATTACTTCAGTAGATTTGTTGCAATTCATGAACCAATACTGGTACACTATTATTAACTGAAATTTTTACTTTATTCAGATTTTCTTAGTTTTTACCTAATGTCTGCTTTCTGTTCTAGGATCCCACCCAGTATGTCACATTACATTTACTTGTAATGTTATCTTAGACTCCTCTAGACCGTTATAGTTTTTCAAACCTTCCTTGTTTTTAATAATCTTGACAGTTTTGAGGAATACTAATCGGGTATTTTGTAGAATATCCTTCAATTTGGGTTTGTTTAATGTTTTTCTCATGACTACACAGGGGTTATGGGTTTGGGGGAGTGCCGTTCTACCCATATCATATCAAGACTACATACTATCAACCTGACATATTCCTACTGATATTAACTTTGATGAGCTGGCTGAAGTAGTGTTTGTCAGATTTCTCTACTGTAATAAGTTACTTTTGTTCCTACCCTCTTCCATACTTTGAAAGGAATTTGCTGTGCACATTCTACACTTCAGGAATGGGGAGTCATGTACCAGCTTCGTGGGGGGGGGGTTGTCTATCTAAATTATTTGGAATTCTTCATACAAGAGATTTATTTATTCTTTCCCATTTATTTACTTAATCATTTATTTATGTCAGTGTGGACCCATAGTATTTATCTTATACTTTGGGCTGTAATCCAATGCTACTATATTGTGTTGCTCAAATTGTTCCAGCGTTGGCCATTGGGAGCTCTTTCAGTTGAATCCTGTGTTCCTTTGACATACCTCCATCACTGTGGTTTTCTTTGAGCCCTTCCTTGCTTTCTGGCACTAAAAGATGTTACAAACCCATCTTGTATACTTTCTATGCCTGCCTGAGAATCAGCCATTTCTCCAACCATCCTGGGTCCTTTTATTGGAAAGTGATATTAAAAACCAAGATCTGGGTGCTAGGTGAGCTTGTTGCTACTGGGAGGGGTTCATTGAATTTTCCCAGCCTGACACTACTCGCCTACCCATTTCCCTCGCCTACCATTTATTGAACATTTACTCTGAGCTAGACATTTTACTTACATAAGATGAATTCTCACCCTGCATGTTGGTGTTCCAGATGAGAACATTCTCAGATATGTTAAATATTAATACCTTGCCTGAGTTCAGGAGCTAGTAAATGGCAATGCTAAGATTCAAGCTTTATTCTCTGTGATAGCAAGGACTGTGCTCTTTCTGTTTTGCAATATTGCCTGAACTCTGTTGCATAGTCATAGATTTTGCTTCTTATAGTAGTCAACTATTTTATAGGTTCAAACTGTAACTGTGCAATATAATATTGCTGTTTCAGTGCAAATCACCTAAAAAAAGGCTCAAAGTTAGGGCCTGAATTTAGTGAGCAAATAATATCACTTCATATAAAGTCACCAACATTATCCTATTCTGCCTTAGGGTAGGACTTGGGGAAGTGAAGTCAATCAGAGGAGCCATGTGGCCCATGTGGCCCTGGGCTATGCATTTTCTAAAACATATATAGTTCTTGCTCTCAAGAATATTGCATTGCATACTCTGGTTTCTCTTCAAAATGAATAAATCTTTCGCCTTTTACTAAAGATTTCCGTGGAGAGAAACAGTTATGAGTTGGTAACCAAATTTTTTGAAGTCTTGCTTAGGCAAGGCTAAGTAAAAAACAAACAAACAAAAAAAGAATATTGCATTAAATAGGACAGGTAAAAAAACCAAACAAATATAATCAGTAGAAATCCATGACTTCATTAATAATTAAAGGACCTTAAGAAGAGAATATACATCAGTGGTTCTTAGGAAATTAGAGGATGAATAATATTGAGCCAGAAAGTCTTCTTGAAAGAACTGATACAAAGTATGAGAGATCAATCTCGTCTTATTCTGCTGAGAGAGGTCACAGCCAACTTTTCAAAACTCTGTGTGGAGTGGAGATGAAAAGTCTCCCCTGGATTTGTAAAAAAAACCAAAACAAAACAAAACTTCCAAACTCTTAGGCATTAACAGATTCCTTTCTTTCTTCTAGGTAGATGCTGAGAACAGCAAAACTGTACAGAGTAGACCGAGCATTGTTCTGTTGGGAAGTTGAGCATCATGACCAAGAGAATAGACTTAAGGATAGAACAGTCATGTGTCTAAACCTAGATCTGGCATTTACTAGCTGTATGACCTTGAGTATGTTCCTTGACCTCCCTGACCTTCATTTTCTTTATTGTTTAAATGAAAAATAAAATAGTGCCTTCCTTTTAGGGATGTTGTGAGAATTAACCAAGGTAAGACATATGTTTAGCATAATGTTTAATACTTAGAAGGTACTCACTTATTATTAAAAGGTGTCTAACATACAGGTCAGTCTACAAAAACCTATTCAAAGTATAATCTAGCTGATTTTCTATTATTATGGCATCAATAATAATTATATTAATGCCAAATGTTTATTGAGCACATACCATGTACAAGTCATTATTCTAAGCACTTTGCATATATTAAGTGAATTAATTGTGCTATAATGTTACTGAATCCAACCAGCCTTTGCAATGTTATTTCTAGGGAAAATACTTCTCAAACTCTAGATGTGGAAGAGAAGAAAGATAACATTCCAGTGTGAGTACAGTCCTGGCCGTAGGGTAGGTATAAGTCAATGTATTTATGGAAAGCTGAGGGCAAGTGAACAGAACAGACAGACCTGGGAGGTGGGGCTTAAAAGGGGTACCTGGGAGCAGGATTTTCAATCTTCATGAAAGGCTTTGACAGACTTGAATTTATAATAAAATTTACCATCTCTTCTTTCTCAAGACTTGCTAGCCAGGCCTGCTGGGGTGTGGAGAGGCAGATTTTGAAGATGGCCATAATGCTGAAACATTAGGTATGGGTGAAAATTCATAAAGAGTAAGAAAAATGCTCTCACTTCTCAGAGTGCCCATGGTTTAATAGAAATTAAAACCTGACCTCACTAGCTCCATGATCCCTTTCCCAAACACCAAGAGACAAATGTGCTCAAGACTTACTAATTAGGTGGAACTATCTAATGATTTCATTGCTGTTGCAGCTTTCACTAGGAGAGTATTTGATTCATGTAAGGCAATCAAAACTATAATAATCCACTGCTAGCAAATGAAGACAGACAAGGGCATTACTCCTAGCAAATACAGTATATCAACTTTGCTTATCATGCACAAGGATGACACAGGAAAGGAAAAGGGATCTGTCTGCTGAAAGACTACTTAGAATTACCAGCTATTATCTTGGCCAAATGTTTCATAAAGTAAAACAGCAGTTTCCACTTAGGGTAGCTTTGGGAGCTGAGGACAGAGGAGGAAATTAACTATTGGAAAGAGTTCCCCTGGTGGCTCTTAAGCTGATCCAGCCTTCCCCAGTGGCTGTTATTTTCCGTGTGGATGCTCTTCAGGAGGAAAGCAAGAGGACAAACCAGCTTCTTTCTTTAGAAAAACAAAACAAAACACAGAAAAAACCCTGCAATGCTGCAAAATCTCATATTAAAATCAACAGCAGCCTCAAAATACTGGTTCCTGCCACCTGTGAGGTGCTGTGCATGATCACCTTTTAAAATCCTCAATAGACCAACAACCTACATGTTAGATATAATAATGTTCATTTTAGAGATGAAATTGAGGCTGAGAGGGGTAAAGCAACTTGCCCAAGGTCAAGCAGCAGAGCTGGGATGTGAACCTATACCTGTCATTTCTAGAGCCCACAATTAGGAACCACTGTGCTACACACCTGTGTCTAGAATGGCAACATTTGTGTCATGCCCAGAAAGTATCAATCAATGATGCCCTGTCTGGAAAGATCCAGCCACCCCAGTGATAGGTTTCTGAGTCAGAAGGTATCTTGGAGACTCCACGGGTGCTCAACCTGCCGGCACACTGCAATTACCTGTAAGGCTTGAAAATACACTAATACCCACTCACAGAACTGTGGATTTGATTGGTTTGGGGGGGGGTGTTGTTGATAGAGAAGGAGTGTATTTAAAAGTTCCCCAGGTGATTTCAATATAATCTAAGGCTGAGAACCACTGACCGAACCTTCGGGACTGGTCATACTATGGCCCATGAAATATGAGCATCAGCATCATCTGGGAGTTTATCAGACATGCAAACTGCCAGGCTTCCCCTCAGGTGATCTGCATGCACACTAGAGTTTGAAGGAATGGCAGTGCCCAGCTGACCCCTAAAGGATGAGGAGGAATTAGGGAAAGAGGGAAGGGAAGAAAGAGGGAATTCTAAACAGAGTGAACAACAATGCAAATGCCTGCGAGAGAAAGAATGGTCTTGGAGGCTGAAGGAGAGATTATCAAGAGGTTGTAAGGTCAAGCCTTTCATACAGGCCAAACATGCTTCTGCCCCAGGGCTGAGCACTCGCTACTTCCTCAATCTGCACAGTTCATACTCTTTTACCCCAATAATACCTTCTCCATAAGGGGTTACCCTGATCTCATTTAAATTGTACTCTTTCCTCCAAACCTGCACTTCCAGACTCCATTATTTGCTCTATTTTTCCCCATAACAATTGTAATCTTCTAACATGCTATATAATGTACTTATTTTTGTCTTTGTTGAGTATCTCCACTATGGAATGTAAGCTCAATGAGTGCACAGATTTTTTTGTCCCCCCTCCCCACTATTGTAGCCTCTAGCACAAAGAGCAGTATCTGACACTTACAAGAGATGTGTTACATGTATTTGTTGAATTAATGAACTAATCGATTTATAAAAATATGGGTAGATCATGCTTGTTTTTACCTAGAGCTTAATTATAAAATCAGTCAGGAGCCTTTTTAGGACTTTAAATGGATAAAGAACAAGATCAGATTTGTATTTGATTTTAGAAAGACCTTCTGGTTGCTGTATAGCTAGTGGACTTAAAGGCTAGACCAAAGGCAGTAAGGCCAGTCTGGGGACAGTGTTAGCTTGCACTAAGGGAGCAGGGGCTGATGAAGACAGGATGCATTCAAGTCCTGCTCAGGAAGCAGCACCAGTGGGGATTGGCTAAGGGGATGAGTGAGAGAGAAGAGTTGTTCTAAGTTTCTAGTTTAGGTAACTAGAGGAATGGAAAGCCATCGTTTAGAGAGTGCTGAAGAACAACAGATATCTGGATGGAAAAGGAAAGCTGCTGTGAAGTATTAAACTGTAGAGTGATGTAACCTGGTAGAAATGTGGATTTTACATTCATTAAACAATGCTATATTTAACTTCTGGCACTATGCTATGCCCCGACGAGTAAATGATAGTTGTTCAACAAAGTACCTACTACGTGCCAGACATGGTGCTAGCTCCAGTGGTAGACAAGGCAGATGTGGAACCATCCTCTCTGCTCTTGCAGAACTTGGAGAAACAGGTAGAATTCTGTGGCAGTTGGGAGATAGAGAGAGAGATATTTAGCTAGGGATACAGGGAAATACAGCTTTCTGGTAACGATAGCATTTGCAATGCAGCTTAAAAGAAATGTAAGGTTTAGAAACAGAGAGGACAAAGGAACCAAAAGTGTGGAAGCATGTAATCTAAATCATATGTCAGGAATAGCAAATAATTTGGATTATCAGGAATTAGAGACCTAGAGGACAGGTTAGAGTATGTAATGACAGGCAAACTTATAGACACAGGTGGAAGTCCCAGAAGTCAGGTGACAGAATTTCAACTGCAAGATTTTGTAAGAAGTTAGTTTGGAACATAATAGAAACTCAGAAATAGACTATTCAGCACATCTATGGATCATTTTTTAATGATTAAATGGTTAAAATGTGGTGTTTTGGGAAGACAAACATGATTTTGGTATGAACAATGGGATAGAGAGGGGGAAGCTGGGAAATGATGCTATTTTCATAGTGTATTAGTCTAGTTTTGATACCATAAAAGTTTGCCTGTCATTGTTGCAAGAGTCCATTGCAGGTGTTCCTGGTTGGGTGACTCATTTTCAGTCAGCTCCCCTCCAGATTATGACTCAAGCCCTTATATGTTATGGCTTAGCCCTTTTCTAGGCCTTGGAGTCTCCTCCATCCAGCTCCTGATTGGAAAAGAGAAAGGAAGATACCCTTGAGAGGATTCTGTGGGCCATCCAGAAGCACAAACACTTCTGCGCGCATGTCATTAGCCAGAACACTATCATGTGGTTTCAGCCAACTGTAGAGGAGGCTGGGAAATGTAGTCTAGCCTGGGAGGAGAAGGGAGCTGGTTTGGTGCATAACTAGTCAGACTCTGCCACAAGTAGTGAATGAAGATGAGTGATAATAAAGATTAACTGAGGGAATAGAGAAGAATATATGCATTTGATAGATATTGGGCATATATAATTGACACTAAAATTGCTACTGATTGGGTGTAGGACGGATAGGCAAAGACCAGATTTTCCCAATGGAATTGCCACCAGTGAAAAGATGTTTACAACCCATGTCATGGAAAACATATATTAATATTTCCCGATCTTAGGTTGTCATCATGGGCTTTGTGTTGGAGGAGGAAACAAGAGAAAATATGGTAGTGACTCACTGAGAAGATTCATAGAAAAGATTAGCTCTTGTATCAGTATGAAAGCTTTTTATTCTCACATATTTTATTACAGAAAATAATTTCACCATTTATGTGTGCTATTAATGAAAACTTTGAGAAAGTATGTCTCCAAATCTGTGAGGTTTAGGGATTCTTATTGGTTTACTAAGAGGGTTAAAAATGCACGAACATATGTATCTACCTTGACAAATGTAGAAAATAAAAGAAAGCTACTATTATTATGTAGGTATAACAAAGACAATTGTGGAGGAGCGGGTATAGGTCAGGTGAGCTGAGCACAAAGTAATAAATCATGGCATATTTCCATAGCATGGTGGTACTTTAGAACTCTAATTTTTGCTGGGTTATTTCTCAAAGGAACTTCCAATTTGATTGTAGCTCACCAATACAGGATTCTAGGTTGAAATTTGTTTTGCAGCCAATCTATTGCACAAATTGAGGCAGCTGTGCACAGCATGTGTTTCATTTCAATGACTCTATAGAGTGGAGTGTTATGCAAAGGGCCACTAATCAGGGAGAAGCTTCTCTTCAATTGGCAACTTTTCAGGGCCACATGTAAAGAAAAATGTGCATGTTTCATTAAGAGTGAACCAATCTCTTGGTTTGTGTACAACCTGGATCATTTACATTTTCTGCTTAAAAAAAATGCTTAGATATTATTTCCAGTCCCACGTCTTCCCTTAGTTCATTAGCCGGAATAAACTAAGTTCCCTGGGAGGGGAAATTGATTGTAGAACCGTGGGTTTCTTGGGGCTGGTTGTTGCTGAATACCCAGATAACCTTAATAAGATTAGCCTTGTCTTTTCCTATGGGCTTTGATGATGGCAATCTACCATATTCTCCAATTAAAATCCTTGTCACACTTGACTTTTGTTTTGCTTAATTTCTACAATGTGTTCAGCTTGAAGAATAAAAATCGATTGATCTGTTTCACTCACTCTAATTTAAGTTGTTCCTTACATGGAATTCCATGCCCGGGCTCGTGTTTGTGTATCTGCACTGAAGCAGCCGGTGCTAATCTACACGAATCTGTTTTATGGAGAGAGAAGAAAGAAGATGAAACCATGAATATTAATACCCTATTACCATGTGATGATATTCTAAGCAGAGATACCATAAAAATCACAAAATGAGAAAGGAAAGGATTCCAGGGTCAGCTATAAAATTCCTGTCCCAAAGAAATGAAGCCAGGAAAGAGCATGAAACAGAGTATAATCCTAGGCCTTGCCATAGTAACAAACTATGGCTCCAAGGTTTCAATTCTGAATTCAGTTGTGAAGTCCTAAGGGTATATTGATGCATCCCTTGTCGTTGGGGATCAATAAAATGTAAGACATTAACTAGATGGTTTGTGAAGGCGCATATATATTTCAGTTTGGGTGATTAGCTGTTAAAAAAAATCAAGTATGACATTGGGATGTAGCATTTTTCCTCAGAGTTATTAGAAATGAATCTAATAGTTGAGCATGGAATTTTGGACGTCATTAATCAGCTTTTATCCCTAATTTTCCCCCTAAAGAAAAATGAGGTCCAAAGAGGTAAAGCAGCTTCCCCCGAATCACCCAGCTAATTAATGACTGTGTTTTGCCACATTATTTGATAGTCCATTTGCAATGACAGGCCCACAGATACTGTTCTTTTTGAATAAGTATCAAGGCTCTGTCTATAATTAAATATTTTCTTTGAGAAGATGGGGCAGTACAAGCCATGGTAGAAACAGGTTTCCTTCATCTAAAAATGACTTTGTGTTTCTCTTTAATTGCTGTATTGGTCATTCATTCATTTAGTACCCACTAATCATTGCTGTGTGGTAGGTTTTCTGCAAGGTTTGACAGAACTGCAGGAGAAGAGTGTGGGAATATGTTTGTATATGTAGCATTTCACTAATCAAATGATTACCCAGAAAAAAAGGTCCAGATAAGGGAAGCATGTTTGGTGCAATAATTATAAGGGTGCAGACTAGAGATACAAGTTTATGAAGTGCCATTAAAACCCCCCAGCAGGATCTGATTCTAAAGTGTAGTGTTTTAGTTTCCTTCCTAACTAAAAGAAATTAAGGGAGATCACTTACTGTGAGCCAGAGAATTTGAACCAAACATTAAACCTCTCCTGAAAATAAATTTTCATGACCAACAGTTGCATAAAACCACTCAAATGAGTGCTATAAAAATTGTTTTTGTAAGAGCTAGAGAACAAATAGTTGTTAAATAATCCAGTGTCTAAGAGAAGTAATCTTTTATGTTTTTGATTGGGTTGAAAATTGAGTTATTCAAATGGTCCTAATTATATTAAAAATAAAATCTTGGCCGGGCACGGTGGCTCATGCCTGTAATCCTAGCATTCTGGGAGGCCGAGGCAGGTGGATTGTTTGAGCTAAGAGTTCGAGACCAGCCTGAGCAAGAGCAAGACCCCGTGTCTACCAAAAATAGAAAGAAGTTAATTGGACAGCTACAAATATATAGAAAAAAATTAGCCGGGCATGGTGGCATATGCCTGTAGTACCAGCTACTCAGGAGGCTGAGGCAGAAGGATTGCTTGACTCCAGGAGTTTGAGGTTGCTGTGAACTAGGCTAATGCCATGGCACTCTAGCCCAGGCGACAAAGTGAGACTCTTGTTTCAAAAAAAATAAAAATAGTAAAATCTTAAAAATCAGCATTTCCTGTTACAGATCTTGAAGTCTGGTGACTTGTCAAGGGTCATATGCCTGAAGATCACAGATAGTAACTCCACATCAAAATAAATTTTAATTCTGCTTCATTAATAAATATGTTTAGTTTGCTTAAAATACCATTGCTCTTTTTATAAAATAGCTTGTCTTAGAAAAGGGATATTACTATGTTCATTCCTTGCTTAGCACAACTGACATTCCACCAGCTTTGTGCTAAATTATACCTCCTGGTCTAATTTTCAAATTACATGTGGAATAAATTTTCTAATTATAGATGACTTGGGGAACAAACAGTTCTTAGATGAGAGTAATGGAAAGAGACCAATAAAGGTCAACTTGTTCAATGCCTATCTGGCCAGTGAGGAAAGCTCATGTGACTAGGAAACTCAAGTTGCTTTCTGGTCTCTTACACAGGTTTATTTGTTCATCCCAAAATTATTTATCATTTGCCCTGAAGTGCTATAGATAAACCTGCCTATATGGAGCTTTCTCTCTATAGGGGAGACAGAGAAAAAGAATATAAGCAAATACTGATAGCCTGCCTTCAGATACAGGTAAGTGCCAGGAAATAAAACAGGACAATTTGTTTCCCATGGGGAAGGTCCTTTAGGATTAAGAAGGCCTATCTGAGAAGGTTTAGGCGGAGGAAACAGTAAGGGCAAAGACCCCTGCTTGTGAGGTGCTGAGAGGGTCAGAAAGAAGACTGGTGTGGCTGAACCATCATGGGCAAGAGGGAGAGTATTAGATGAAGCTAGAGGTTTGACAGGGACCTGAGCAGGTACAACAGTATTTCTCAAAGTATGGGCCCTGGGCAGAAGGGTTAGCAGCATCTGGAAATTTGTGAGTGATGCAAGCTGTATCTTAGCCAGCCCCCCAGCTAGCTCTGATGCATGTGCAAGCTTGAGACTGCTGATCTAGAGCCTTGTTTGCCACGATAAGGCATTTGGAGTTTATTCTCCACTGGAAGGTTTCAAGCAGGAGAGTGAAATAATATGACTTAGGCTTTGAGAAGATAACTTTGGCCTTTGTGAGAAAAAGGGGCAGATTGGTATTTACTGTTTTATGTATATATTCCGACTAAAAATTGTAGCTCAGTGGGAAAGGACAATTAGCAGATTCATGCCGAGCTCTGTTTACTTTTATTGTGAAGGATAATTGTGTTCAATCTTATGCTTGAATTCCGGATGTTCCTACCTGAAAATTCAAATAGTAATTCCCTACTGTGATATGTTAGATAACTGAAATTCTAACACACTTGTGGAAATGCAAACCCATTATCAATTGTCTTTGGATACTAATGTCTTAAGTAGGACAGATTTTCTAGTTGAAACAAACAATTGTCTTTAGCAATAGAATGTAATTAGGATAGTCATAAATTAATATTAGTTGTCTATTTTACTCTGGATATCAGCTCAGATTTGATAGGGTGTGTGTGTGCATGTGTGTGTAAAACATATTTCTAGAGTGGGAACTTAACCTTTCTACTATGAAATTCCTCTGGATATTTATGGAGTCTCCAATGAATGATCCAAGAATGTTCTAGAGCAAGTCTTCTTAGCCACTACTTACATCTGCCATTGTCCCTTTATTTCTTCTCTATTTCCCTCTTTTCCTATGACATGCCTAGTAAAGTTATAAAAGAATGTCTTGTCTGTGCCTTAACTCTAAGTATGGGCATTGTCCGGAAAGTATCCAGCTATGTAACTGCTCTCGATGTATTAACAATGGCTGGATACTTTCCGTACAGTCCTTGCATACCTGTACCTCCATCCCATTACTGGAGGTTATCTTTTGTAATGTGCCCTTACAGCTCTGTGGCAGGACCCCAGTGGGCTGGTGCTAAGGCTGCTTTTCTGAAGGAGCAAATTCCTCCTACCTTAATACAATAATTACACAGACTAAGCTCAAATAGGTGCTGTCTGTGCTTCTCCATATCTCACAGATCTTGTGACGAAAAGCCACGGTTTCCATTACCTCTTATGCTCCCTCTCTCCTTGGGAGTCAGACAGGTATCTAGTGCTGGCCAGAGGCTAATTCTCCAAGACTGCCTTGAGTTTCCCATCCTTCTCATATGTCTCTTTTGCTACCAGCCACCCATCTTACTCAAGCATTTGTGTTTCACTCTGCTACACCTGTTTTCATAATTTGTTTTTCATGTATTATAAACACAGCCATTTTAGTCGGTATATTGTGCGGCCAAATAGTTGTATACATTCATGAAGTTACATTATACCTGTAACTGTCTTAGGTCAGTTTCTCTGAGATCGAGGTTTGTGTGCAGGAAGTTTATTGGAGGATGGGTTCAGAACAGCCCCTGCGAGGGGGCAGGAAGCTGACTGGCCAGAGGGAGAAGTGAAACTGCATTATCATGGAGGCCTTAGACAATCCCGTGAGGAGCTCTGAAGCTGGGAAAGGCCTTCAGAATCATCCCAAGTTGAGGCAAGGGATGTGTCTAGGAACCCCCTAGATGACCTGACATTGTTTGCAGGCTGCCCCTGGGGAAGGGGCCTAACCTTGGGCAAGGCAGCTCCCTCAGAAAGGGCAACTCCCATTCTAGGCCTAGAGGGACACAGGTGTGAGAACCAGCGCCTTCGTCCTGAAGGGTGGGGGAGGGGATGTGGGTTGTGTACTGCTGTATCCACTACAGATACAGAAAGAGCTTTCACTTTTGTGTATGAAGGGAAAAATAATTAGTAAATATTCGTGATCATCCCCTTTAATGCCTTTGTTGTTTTTGTTTTGTTTACTTTTAGAATGTTCATGTCTGAAATTGTTTCTTTTTTATCCTCACACTGAATAATTATAATTGTGCACAGAAAGGTTTCTACATCAAAAATCATTTTGGGTGTCCTTGGTAGTTTGAAGGCATTGCTTCATCGTCTTCTCATTTTCACTGCCATTCAGATTCTCCATTCTTTGTCTGAAAACATGATTTTCCCCCTCCCTATAAGTTTCTACCATCTTTTATTTCTCCTTAAACTTTTGAAATTTCTCTGTGAAATGCCTCAATACAGGTCTGTTTTCACCCATTACACTGGACCATTGTGCTCATCAGAGCTTTAAATCTGGAACTTACATCTTTCATGTGTGGGAAATTTCCTTTAATTATTATATTGATGGCTTC